GAAAATCCGATCAGAATGACAAAATAAACTAAGCATCCACTGGAAGGAATCCCAATATCTGCAGATGGATCCGTTTCGGCCTTCGAGGGTTCATCAGTGCAGCTAGGGTACAGACCCAAACGAAACGTTCGACCAGCTTAGTTAGGCCCAAACTAGTCCCACGACCACTAATGATTACAGAGCCAAACCAAGGCAATATATATACACAGCCCAGGTGTGAATGTAAATAGTGGAATACAAGCTATGCGGCTCGGTTCCAGTAGATACAAAGAATATTTTGTCATTCTAAACGAGTAATACAAAATTCTTACAAGACAGCACTAGTCCGTGAATTTGTGAACAAGATCGGAGATCTAAAGATGCAATCTCTACCGTGCACAAATTATTATATATATATAACACATTTTTAAAATGAGGACCAAGAACTACATAATTTAGTATTTGTTGTATTATTATTATTATTTTATTACTAATATTATTATTACAATTTCTAGGGAAAAAAAATAAAGATGTGGCAGGTATAATTTTTCTTAAAAAAAGTAGCAGCATGTCTGGTGTAACAAGAAGATTTTTTAATGTATGATGTGGGTAGAAAAATGCAATAATTGATGAATAGTTGTAAATAAACAAAAGCACTATATTGACAAAATGAATCATACTTTTATTTCATTGTCTAAAAGTCTGGCGAGGCTAATGATTTCATCTGTTGACATACGTAACACCTCTTCTCCAATTGACTCCTGAAAATTAAACAAGACTGTGATAATATATATTGACCACTAGCACTGTCAAAACCAAACATGCACAATCCGGGAATGTGGACGGCATGTCCCAACCATATCATTCATAGACAGGCCCTGGCCTAGGCCTTACCCTCCTTTTAATTTATTGGCTTATTTAAAAAAATAACATTCAATTATATTTTTAAAATGAGGTTTACTAGTCCTATTTTTTGTGAGGATATATTCCCCACACAGGCCTTGCAGTACCACAGTAGTCCTAGGCCAGGGCCTAGCATAGCTAGGCATAGGCTAGTAGCTAGGCCTAGCTAGGGCCTAGGCCTAGTGTAGTTTAGTATGTAAAAAGTAGGGCTCCTTCTTTAGTCTGGCAAGAACGATAGCAAGAATGCAACACAAGGCAGAACAGGCTAGTGGCTAGTAATAGTAACAGCAGGCTTAGTTTTAGGCCGTTACTCGTAGTCCCTACCCATGAGCTAACTAGGCCCTAGGCCTAGAGCCTACCAGTAGCAAGCAAGGCAACGACGGCACCTCGGCGGCGATGGTTGCCTTTCGCTGACTCATGTATGAATGCTGTGTATGAATTACATACCACCAGTAAAACAACGGATAAAGCAACATAATCAGCCAATATGATTGATAAAATACATATACTATAACCAACCATGTTCCCTATTATAGTAATATTTAAAAGACATTTACCTCTCCGTCTTCTTGCCAGATTTCTTTATCTTCTAGCTGAACAGCCATTTTCTTTTTTTTCTGCTGATTCCACGGATAGTTTGTTTGTGGTTTATTTCCTCACGTGCAGTGGAGCACCACCATCGTGTGATGGTGTGAGTCGATCCTTCTTTGTTTTTGGTCTTAGACCGGGAGCCCAGAAGATTTAATCATGTGAAGAGAGACAAAAGGTTTGATGGTCTGGTCAT